CAGGGCATGATAATGTCATCTCGAGAAGAAGCTATGGGCATGCAAAAGGGGCGTCTACGGTCCTAGGTACCAAAGCAGTCAAGAAGTACTTATTACTATAAGTTATAGAACAGAAAAAAGAACCAGTATCATTAGATATCTAATATATTATTATGTAATATATAATAATTAATATATATATATATATTAGATATCTAATGAATTCTAATGATAATGTTTTTTCTGTTCTTGTGTGAGAACCCCACCAACAGAAAACCAAACCAAAAACCTACAAAAACCATGCATACGGGACTGCCGTTACAACAACTTCAAAAGTTGCCGTTTCCAACATTGAAGCCTTTAGGTGGGCAAGCCCATGCCGTGCTGCCCTGGGCCTCCCCTTACGCTGGCTGGCCCCCTTGGGCGACACCCGCGGCTGGACAACCGAGGTGCAGGAGTCATCGGTTCCATCTCCTCGTCGCGCGGTCCCGTCGGGCCAGCGACGGCGCCCGCGCGCCGCAAGACGGGCGCGGTGCCGGCGAAGCCTCGGCGAGAGGACAGTGCGCGGGCGTCGTCTTTGGCTGTTTTGGTCCTGGAAGTCGGAAGGGTGTCTGTTTCGCCTAAGCTGGCGTAAGGGAGAAAGGGTAAAGAGAAGTACTGCACTCCATCAAATGTTACATACCATGGACATGGATATGGATATGCAAGAGAGGGACCCGGACCTTCCAACTATGCCCAATGTCTGCCTTTCGGTTGTTTTTTGCACTTTATACATTTATTACGTATTACAGTTGGAAGATCCAGGGTTGGAGATATAGACTTCCTTGCGCAAACGAGAAGATCAGCAACCGTGGATCGGACGTGCGCAAGCTCCGTGTTTTGGCGAGCCCCCCGATTACTTGGTAAGCGTACACCTGTCACAGACCCGGCCTCAGCTAGAGAATGCCTACAAAGAGTCCAGTTGGGCAATCATCGTGTATGCGGCACCAAAAAAAATATACCAGCGTTGACCCCAAACAGTTTGTTTGGTCCAAGTCCAAACTAATTAGCGAATTGGTCTTGGCAATGTAGGTGTCAGGCACCAAATCATTGCTGCGGCGTCTGGTTTTGTGAACAACACAAGCAATCCCTTGCTCAATTTTTAAACACACAATCCGCCAAAAGTTGTGTCGGCGACCTGGAGCTTTCTTCCCTTTCAATAATTATCTTTTTTCTGCCACGCTCATGAGTTTTTTTGCCGATGATTTGACATCATGCGGGCGGAGCACCCACAACGGACTGGAGACAGTGGGAGACAAATGGGAGACAAGTGTAAAATCATGCGGCCAACGAACCCACAAGGGACTGGAGACAGTGGGAGACAAGTGTAAAATAATGCGGCCAAAGCACCCACAGCGAACTGGAGGCAACAAAAATAGAAGACAAGTGAAAAAATCATGTGGCCAAAGCACCCTAGAGGCACAAGTGGGAGACATATGGGAGACAAGTGTGAAATCATGCGGCCAGAGCACCCACAAGGGACTGGAGACAGTGGGGCACAAGCGGGAGATAAATGGGAGAGCACCC